TCTCACAAAGAAAATAATTTATTCTATGCTAATAATTTTATTTTTGGCCGTCAAAATGGATAATTTATTCCATAGTGACTTTTTTTATACTATTGAAAGAGATATTTATTCAACAAAATTAACTTTTTTGCAATTCCGTCGAAAGAGGTAACTTTATTTTTTGATAATTTTTTATGGGTCTTGTTAAAAGAAATAATTCATTCAATAAAAACCTCTTTTTTTTTTTTATCTTACCAAAAGAGATAATTTATTCAGTAGAGATAAAATAATAATAATAATAATAATAATAATTTAATCATCTTCCTTTTGTACTTTTTATTTTTATTATTTTTTGGGATCTTGACAACGGAGATAATTTCTTCAATAAATTTTTTTTTTTGTGGGTTTTTTCTTTTTTTATGTCAAAAGAGATAATTTTTTTAAATGGTTACTTTTTATTTTTTTGATCCAGTCAAAAAGGCAATTTATTCAACATAACAAATTTTTTATTTTTTGGTCCCTTTAAAAAATATATATATTCAATTTTTATTTTATTTTATTTCATTTGTGTTATAAAAAAATAATTAAAATATTAAAGATTAAAGAAAAGAAAAGAAAAAATGAAAGGACAGTTGTATCATTTAAAAATTAATAATTATTTATTTGTAAAGTTAAGGTCATTTCATTTAAGAGTATCTTAATTTTATTATAAATGTAATTTCCAATTTATCTTTCATTAAAAAAAAATTAAATAAACATAACTTTACTAGAAGATATTATTTTGCAGGTTAATTATTTCTCTGAATTATTGTTTTAGCCCAAACATTTCCTTTATTAAAAAAAATAAAAAATAAGAGTGTATTGTTACGTGCCTCTAGCTGCAGCACATATATGCTACATGTAATTTGGAAAAAATTACTAGAATTGACTGTGCCACACGTAGCACTTACTACCTACCGACCTGGTAAATAAGAAAAAATTACAGTACTCAACACTTTGTTCATGGTGTTCCATGGACCACCGCCAATCTGTTCTCTGCCGCTCTCATTTTGCTGGAATCTGTCATCAAGTCCGTTAATTTCGCCGGAATTTGAGTCCCAGTTTACTCTATTAATTTGCTTTCAGGTCCAATTGCTTCACGCCTGTGTTTTTCTGCTTTCCATTTTCTTGTATTTTCCAGGAATTTTTTTTTATTTTTTTATCACTGCACTAGTTTATTCGTTTTCATCACTTTTTCTTTCTCGGGAAAAACTCTGTTTTAAGGTTCCATTTATTTAGACGTAAAATATTTTTTTAAAAATATTATTTTTATTTTTTGGTGTTTGATTATCGTAAAATATTTATGAAGAAAAACAATATTAAAATTTAACAAAAATAATTTATCCATCAATTTTCGACAAGTTATTTTACATTCCATACTCGATGAACTCGACCTCAACCTCAACACAGACCTTTGTAAAATACCGACAAAGTAAGAATAAAAGAATATTTTACCCGAAAAAAAAAAAAAAAACATTCAAAAAAGAATATTTTACTAACTTTATCGCAATTTGGTAAATTTTTGTTTTTGATTTTTACAGAGTGTTTTTTATTTTTCGTTTTCATTTTCTTCTTTAGCCTCTTTGGGGATTTTTTTATCAACGTGCATAATTTGGTGCTCAAATACGTCTTTAAATATCTAATTTACCTTTCTTAAGTTACGATATTTCATTATCTGAATATCTAATGTTAACTTGTGCTATATATGGCTAAGTCTATATATATATATATATATCTTTCTTTTTTTCTTTTTTCTTTTTTTTTATGGAGATTGGTGACGTCGGACTTCTTAGAGCACCTCCATAATTTACCGCCAATCCCATCATACATATGTATTTTGATGGTTAGAAAATAAGTGATTTATTAGGCTTGAAGTACAAAGATATCTAGGAAATTTTAGTGGCCTACTAAACTTGTGAGTGATACTTCTAGAAATAGGATGTGAATGCATGGATATATAATGATTTTTATTATTGTAAAATTTGTGTCTGTTTGTTTAGCGGGAAAAAAAGAACTAGGAAAAGAAACTGTCCGGTTAGGCTGCACGTTATTATTACCAATTGTAAGGTTAGTGAAGTTTGGGAAAATTTGGAAAATTATACTGACGATAGACCATGTTATTTTGAAAACTTTACATTTCATGTGATAAATATAGTTTTCTATTTGTGTCTTGCTGGAAATATGCACCAATATTATATGGATGCACAAGCAGCATTAGATGGTGAGTTTGAGTGAGATGTTAATATTGCACTATTTGGTAGTTTCTTAGGGTCATGTGCTTACAAAGGCTGTGGATTAGATATGATCTTTATGAAAATTGGGAAATAGTCAAAATACACTTTTTAATACACTTTTTGATTTGGATAAGATAAAATTTCCAACTTTAGAGTATCAATGAGGTGTATGCTTATATCACGTAACCGTATTTCTTTATATATATAATAATAATAATAAAATAAGAGACACGAGTCCATGTGCTTTAGAAATTATTAATTAAAATTTTTTTTTTTGGCTGATATTTAATAGGGATTTTACACATAAATGGTGCGATTGAGTAATTGCCTATATTTATTATTTGATGGAGTCAAAATTTCTTAGTTTCGAAAAAATAGAGCTAGCCAAAATGCTGATATACAAATAGAAAAATAATGTTTACTCTCATAGATGTACCACTTTTTATGCACACATATACCATTTTTTGTGCATTAGATACCACTTTTGTTTTGGACATAGAGATACCATTTTTATTTACACAAGTACTACGATGACAAAAAATGGTATCTACATGCACAAAAAGTGGTACCTATGTGCCTAAATGTGATACCTCTTTGAGAGTAAACCGTGTTTTTCCATATCTATATTTTTTCGAAACTACGAGACTTTAACTCCATTAAATGGAATATGAATCATCATCACCATTTATATGTAAGTAAATATATTAACTTTATTTTAACCAAAAATATATACATATATTAACTATAATTAATTTGTTTTGTATAAAAAAATTGTGTTAACTAAAATTTCAGCACTATGTAATAATTTTTCATATGTTTTATAGCTTAAAATGTTACATGAAGATTAAATTTTAGAATTAGTGCAAAGATCTTATGTAGTACACTTTCATACTTAGAATTGGCTAAAGCAAGTCATGCTAGTTAAGCTGGAGTTCTTCAATTTATATTCAAAGTCGAGCTCAAACATCTACAACTTGAATAAGGTTTGAGAATGAACAATTAAAATTTTTAACATAATCTCAAAATGTAAATATTTAAGATGTTATATAACCAGAATATTGAAAATTTTAAGCAAGGGACTTTAATTAGGTGTTCAACTTTTAATTGTTAAAAAAAAAATAAGAATTTTTAATATTTTTTCAAATTATAACTGTTGAATTTAAATGTTTTAAATAAAAATAATAATTTAAATGTTTAATGATATGTAAAGTTGGCATTACTTAAAAATTTTGAGTTCTCAAACAACATCTAACTCTATTTATCTTATTATTTTATTTATATTTTTTAAAATGAAACAAAATTACAATAATTATATATCTTTCTTTTTTTATCAATTTTTTAATAAATTTTATGAACATCTATGAAATGGTAGTATGACACAACTATACCTTTATTTTCCTCTACACATTATTTATTAATAAAAAAATTATTTGATAGTATGTGATAGCTTAGTTGAATCAAAATTTACATTCAAGACCTCTTTACCAGATTTCTTGATTTAGGTTCTGTTTGGTATGCGTTTTCTTTTTTCTGTTTTTATTTTTAGGTTGCTACAGTATGAATTTTGGCAATAAAAGCATGTTTAGTGCGGCTTTGTTTTATTTTACACAGTGCCAAAACACTTCGTGAATAGTGGTTCAAAACCAAAACACTGAAAAATTATTATTATTATTATTTTATTTCTTATTTTAACAATCATTCATGGTCCAAAACCATATTTCGTATATTTGTGTTTCCGACATTTTGACATCGTTCCCAAACGTGTTTTCGATTTTTTCTCAAAACACTCCTATAGCAAAAAAATTGTTTCTGTTTTAGCCAAAAACAAAAAGCTGAAAACAAAGCGCATGCAAGCCTGGCTCTTAGTAGTTGGCTTATGTGGTCAATTCTAGTGTCAAAAGTTCGAAAATTAAGGAGAAAAAGAAAAAAAATGCATATTCAATATATATATTTTTGGATTAGATAAGTAATGACACATTATTCATAGGGGTTGAAATCGTTCTCTCCCCCTCCTTAAACATAAAAAATTATATTATTGATTTAATGACCCACCATATTCAAATTTAATTAGCATTACTTCAATTTCCTTAGTTAAAAGGTTTTATTTGTTAAGAGTAGTATCTAACACAACAACCTTTAACATTTAACTTTGACTATCTTAATACTAAAGCCAAAGGTCATGAATGACAACCCCATCTCTTTGACTATTTGAAAATACACGTCAAAAGCAAGAACATTTGAGGGCATTATAGTAACTTCGAGAAAATGGTGAAAACAAGAACTTTATACAACGTAATAAAAAACCGAAGGGGATAGAACGAAGGAATTACTGCTAAAAAGGCACGTGTCGTTCATGAAACTTCGGTCAACACGGGTCAAAGGCCTTATACCACGTCATCTACTACATACGAGTACAATGTATATTTGCTGTCAAGAGAAGGCTATAAATATCTCTAACGAGACTCAGCCGATGCCAGATTCTCTCTCTCTCTCATTCCGGTTGAAGAGAAAATAAAACACTTCGAAGACGAACAACCAATATTGAATCGATCGAGCAGAACCCATCACAAAAAACCCTAGTTTCATCGCGGAGAAAAATCTTTGATCGCAACTTCACAAAACGCATACGATTTTCTATTCAGCGCTCTCTTAGTCTCACATGGAGTCCGAATTTATTAAGAGGTACGAGGATTATAATCTTACTCCTCATTTCCTCTTTACACACACAAATTTTGGGGTTTTTTTTTTTTCCTCTAGAACTTAGATTTATAATACCATTGTCCTAATTTGTTGTCTTGAAGTATTGTTTTTGATGTATACAAAACTAAAAGGATGGGTCTTGGTCAAGCTTCTAACATAGCGTCTCTGCCCTTGGATTATTTCAGGAAGAAGAAGCCCCGTAGGTCGAAAACTGTAGCAGAGACACTTGCAGAATGGAAGGAGCACGGTTCTTTGGGTGATGATAAAGGCAAACCAGCTTGCAGAGTTCCTGCCAAGGGATCAAAGAAGGGATGTATGAAGGGTAAAGGAGGACCCGAGAACTCCCAATGTAACTATAGAGGCGTTAGGCAGAGGACATGGGGTAAATGGGTAGCGGAAATTCGAGAACCCAAGAAGGGTAATAGGCTCTGGTTGGGTACTTTTCCAACCGCCCTTGAAGCTGCCCTCGCTTATGATGAAGCGGCAAGAACCTTGTATGGTGCTTGTGCTCGCCTCAACCTTCCAAATTGCAGTTCTTCTTCGGTGCTAACAAGTTCGAGTTCAGATTCCACAATGAAACAAGAAGCAACGGAAGAGCCTCTAATCGACAGTAATAGGCTTCTGTCAGCTGGTCCACCAAAGGATTCATTAAAACAAGAAGATATGGAAGAGCCTCCAATTGATGGTAATAGACTTCTGTCACCCTATAGAGCTGGTCCATCAGAGGGCTCAATGAAGCAACCAGCAATGGAAGAGCCTCTAATTGGACTTCTGTCACCCTATGGGGCTGGTCCATCAAAGAGTTCGATGAATGAATCAATGGAAGAGGTTACGGATATCAATCAGGACAATGGGTTCACATTGCATAACTTATCAGCGGATGAAATCTTCGATTTGGAAGAGCTACTTGGGGATGAAATGTTTGATGTGGAAGGGCTACTTGGGGTTCTAACTTCTCCCTATTCTGCACCACTGTCCAACTATGACAATGTGGGGCATGAAAGGCATTCAGATTCAATATCCCAATTCCAGAAGTGCGATACAAAGTTATTTGATAATATGCACTGTGAGCAGGAATATTATGGAGCTGATCATGGTTTCGATTTCTTGAAACCGGGCAGAGAGGAGGATTACAATTTTGGGGGTATTTTGAATTTGGAATCAGATTTGAGAGTTTGAAGTCATTGGTGGCATACGGGTGTATGGGCATAAGAAAAGAGATGGTAAACCTTGGTGTTAAATGGATACTCTCTTCAACAAGAGGCTATTAGGAGGATTCAATTACTTTTAGTTCTTAGAATGGTTCATGTTCTTTAGTTTTGTTTTATCTCTCAAGCTTGATTCTCAGAGATCTTTATTATTTGGATGATGTTTTTCTTTCCCAGTTCTCTCACTCAAATTTTTCCAAATTGGAGAAGGTCCATCTTAGCAATGGAGTTGATGTGTGACTTATAATCTTTGAACATTATGTACATACTAGGGAATTCTTTCTTGTACATACTAGGGAAGACAATTTGAGTGGCATTGTTCCTTGGAATTTATTATTACATAAAAAGTATATTGCATAAATAAAGATATCAAACATTTATGCTGCTTGTGTTGAGTTTCTGATCTTGCTCTGTGAGCTGTGTGTGACTTGTTCATGTTGAATTTCCTCTTCTCCCATATCACTGTGTGTCTGTCTTTCCTTCAGAACCAGCCCATGCCCTCTGTGCCCATTTGGGAGGTTTTTTCAAATTTTGAATCTTTGTGAATTGGAAGTTCATTCCTATTCCATCTTATTTGATGCTATGTTCTCAGTGGACAGCATTAACTCATCAAAGTCAAATGAGATCATCAAAAAATAGAAAAATGGAAAATGCAATAGAGATCTGAATCAAGCTAAATAATAAATTAATAATCATGTATGAGATCATCAAAGTGAAATGCCCAAACCCCAAAACATCCCGAAACATCAAATACCACAGACACCTAAGTTCCAAAAATAAATCAAACAAGAGAAATATAAGAAAAACCCCAATCAAGTATTGAAGAAACACCTCAATAAAGAAGGCAAAGCTTACAGGATATGGAGAATCGGATCAGACCTGTGTACTGGCAACATCTGATCCAATAAACAATGGTAAAATGACCTCCACGCACGTCTTCAGTGAAAATGGAGTAAGAGAACTTAGGGTTAGGGTTTAAGACTTCAATTGATAGTTCAAAACATGAAAAGGAGGAGTTCTGAGTCCGTTTAAGTTCGGAAATTTTCTGATATCGACTCACTGAAATGTGTTAAGTTTGCAGAGTCCTATTCTCTGTGAAAATCTGCAAATTACTAAATCGTCATTTTCTTTTCTTTTTTTCTTTTTCTTTTTAACAAATCGTCAGTGTTTATACGTTTCTTGGGTCATTGTCTAAAAATATTCGTGTCAAAAATAGTCAATACATGATTATTTTTTTTAGATGGTCAAAATAGTCGAATACACTTTTTAATACACTTTTTGATTTGGATAAGATAAAATTTCTGACTTTAGAGTATCAAAGAGGTGTATGCTTACAGCAGTAAGCGTATTTCTTTATATATAATAATGATAATAATAATAATAATATAAGAGACGTGAGTGCATGTGCTTTAGAAATTATTAATTTTAATTTTTAATTTTTTTTTGGTCTAGCGGATATGTAATAAGTACTGTAAGTAAATATATTAACTTTAATTAATTTGTTTTTTAAAAAAAATTGCATCAACTAAAATTTCAGCATTATGTAATAATTTTTTCATAGGTTTATAGCTTAAAATGCTACATGAAGATTAAATTTTAGAATTAGTGTAAAGATAGAGTCTCAGGGGTATAACGGTGTTGGCAGGAATTTGAAAAGTAAGTTATTAAAGTCTCGCTTTTGAACCGCACCCCTAATTTAAATAGTACTTGTATTGTGGGGCCGATACACGTACTCTAAAAATTAAAAAAATCCTACGTAGTACACTTTTCATACTTAGAATTGGCTAAGCAAGTCATGTAAGTTGAGCTACAGGCTCTTTAATTTATATTCAAAGTCGGGCTTAAACATTTAAAACTTGAATAAGGTTTGAGAATGAACAATTAAAAATTTTAACATAATCTCAAAATGTAAATACTTAAGATGTTATATAACGAGATCATTGAAAATTTTAAGAAATGGATTTTAATTAAGTGTTGAACTTTTAATTGTTAATTAAAAGTTAAGAATTTTTAGTATTTTTTCAAATTATAACCGTTGAATTTCAATGTTTTAAATAAAAATAATAATTTAAATGTTTAATAGTATGTAAAGTTGGCATTACTTAAAAATTTTGAGTTGTCAAACAACATCTAACTCTATTTATCTTATTATTTTATTTTTATTTTTTAGAATTAAACGAAATTACAGTAATTATATATCTTTCTTTTCTTATTAATTTTTTTTTTTTTAATTTTCTGAACATCTATGATATGGTAGTATGGCACAACCATACCTTTATTTTTCTCTACACATTATTTATTAATAAAAAAATTATTTGATAGTATCTGATAGTTTAGTTCAATTTGGTCAATTTTTGTGTCAAAAGTTCAAAATTTAACGAGAAAAAGAAAAAAAATTCATATTCAATTTTTTATTTTGATAAGTAATCACACATATTATTCATAGGGATTCAAACCCTTCTCTCCCCCTCCTTAAACAAAAAAAAAAAAAAAAAAATTATATTATTGATTTAATGACCAACTAATTCATATTCAAATTTAATTTAGTTGTACAATCTTAGTATTAAATTAGCATTAATTCAATTTTCTTAGTTAAAAAGTTTTATTTGTTAACAGTGTCTAATACAACAACTAGCCAAAAACTTTTGACTTTTAACTTTGACTGTCTTAATACTAAAGCCAAAGGTCATGAATGACATCCCTATCTCTTTGAAATAGACGTCAAAAGCAAGAACATTTGAGGGCATTATGGTAACTTCGGGAAAAGGTGTAGCAGAAAGAAAGCAACAACTTTCTGGCAAGCTTCATTCAATACAACGTAATAAAAAACTGAAGAGGATAATATGGGACCTTCAGTACGAAGGAAATACTGCGGAACAGGCACGTGGGGTTCAGGAAACTTCGGTCAACACGAGTTAAATCGCCACGTCATCACTACATACAATGGATATTAGCTGTCGAAAAATCCAGAGAAGGCTATAAATACCTCTAACAAGTCGCGGCTGTTTCTAGATTTTTACTCTCGCTCATTCCGGTTGAACAGAAAAGAAAACACTACAAACAACCAATCTTGAATCGATCGAGCAGAATCACAAAAAAACCCTAGTTTCGAATCGATCGGGCTGAACCCAGGCAGGCGGATCACAAAAAAACCCTAGTTTCGTCGCGGTCCCGTGGAGAAGCAAATCTTTGATCACAGATTCAGCGCTCTCTTAGTCTCCCATGGCGTCCGAAATTATTGATAGGTACGTCGATTTTCATCTTACTTCTCATTTCCTCTTTTCACACACAAACACACACAAATAAAAAAACAATTTTGGGTTTTGGTTAAGTATTGGGTTTTTTCTAGAACTTAGGGTTTTAGTGTTTGATTTCATTACTTTCCCTACGAGGGTCCGATCAGTTATGCGCGTTCTGTTACTGAGAAAATGTCAATTAGAGAAAGTTAGTTTCAGTTTCAATTTCTTGGGTACCAAGAAAAGAACGAAAATTTTTTAGTGTTCACACTGTGCCTGATATTTAGTCTTTACACTAGGCCTGACACGAACACGAGGTTTTCAGTATTTTCTCCCTAATTTTCTTTGCATAGTGAAAAACATTATTTGATTTTGGCTTATGGATTCTGCATGGAGTTTTGCTGCATATCCTTGGGTAGATTGGGGGAGGTTAAATAGGGTTTAGGAGTCTTATTGTAGTTTTTGAGATTTTCAAGTTTGGTTTTGGATTTTGAGGGAGTGTATAAACCATTGTTCTAATTTGTTGTCTTGAATGGTATTGAAGTATTGTCTGTGTTGTTTACAAAACTAAAAGGATGGGTCTTGGTCGAGCTTCTAACATACCTCCTCTGCCCTTGGATTATTACAGGAAGAAGAAGCCCCGTAGGTCGAAAACTGTAGCCGAGACACTTGCAGAGTGGAAAGAGCATGGTTCTTTGGATGATGATAAAGGCAAAGCAGTTTGCAGAGTTCCTGCCAAGGGATCAAAGAAGGGATGTATGAAGGGTAAAGGAGGACCAGAGAACTCCCGTTGTAACTATAGAGGCGTTAGGCAGAGGACTTGGGGTAAATGGGTAGCTGAAATTCGAGAACCCAAGAAGGGTAAAAGACTCTGGTTGGGTACTTTTCCAACTGCCCTTGAAGCTGCCCTCGCTTATGATGAAGCGGCAAGAACCTTGTATGGTGCTTGTGCTCGCCTCAACCTTCCGAATTGCAGTTCTTCTTCGGTGCTAACAAGCTCGAGTTCAGATTCCACAATGAAACAAGAAGCTATGGAAGAGCCTCCAATTGATGGTAATAGACTTCTGTCACCGTATAGAGCTGGTCCATCAGAGGGCTCAATGAAGCAACCAGCAATGGAAGAGCCTCTAATTGGACTTCTGTCACCCTATGGGGCTGGTCCATCAAAGAGTTCGATGAATGAATCAATGGATGAGGTTACGGATATCAATCAGGACAATGGGTTCACATTGCATAACTTATCAGCGGATGAAATGTTCGATTTGGAAGAGCTACTTGGGGATGAAATGTTCGATGTGGAAGAGCTACTTGGGGTTCTAACTTCTCCTTATTCTGCTCCACTGTCCAACTATGACAATGTGGGGCATGAAAGGCATTCAGATTCAGTATACCAATTGCAGAAGTGCGATGCAAAGTTATTTGAAAATATGCACTGTGAGCAGGAATATTATGGATCTGATCATGGTTTCGATTTCTTGAAACCGGGCAGAGAGGAGGATTACAATTTGGGGGGACTTCTGAATTTGGAATCAGATTTGGGAGTTTGAAGTCATTGGTGGCATACTGGTGTATGGGCATATGAAAAGAGATGGTAAAGCTTGGTGTTAAATGGATACTCTCTTCAACAAGAGGCGATTAGGAGGATTCAATTACTTTTAGTTCTTAGAATGGTTCATGTTCTTTAGTTTTGTTTTATCTCAAGCTTGATTCTCAGAGATCTTTATTATTTGGGTGATGTTTTTCTTTCCCAGTTCTCTTACTCAAATTTCTCCATATATTTTTGAATTGGAGAAGGTCCATCTTAGCAATGGAGTTGATGTGTGACTTATAATCTTTGAACATTATGTATATACTAGGGAATTCTTTCTTGTACATACTAGGGAAGACAATTTGAGTGGCATTGTTCCTTGGAATTTATTATTACATAAAAAGTATATTGCATAAATAAAGATATCGACATTTATGCTGCTTGTGTTGAGTTTCTGATCTTGCTCTGTGAGCTGTGTATGACTTGTTCATGTTGAATTTCCTCTTCTCCCATATCACTATGTGTCTGTCTTTCCTTCAGAACCAGCCCATGCCTTCTGTGCCCATTTGGGAGGTTTTTTCAGCAGCAAGAAAAGTTCTCAGTGGATTGAGCAAATTTTGAATCTTTGTGAATTGGAAGTTCATTCCTATTCCATCTCATTTGATGCTATATTTGGGAACGCCAAATCGGTGTTTTGAATTTTAAATTGGAGAAAAATTACTTTAAAATTAAAATTAAATTTCTTTTAATTTTAAATTCAAAACGATGATATGATACTTGCATCCATCTTGTACTGGTGAACAAGAAAACAATCATTTGTTTATGTGGGATCAATTTTTATACCAATATGTCATGTCATCTGTAAGGTGGATTTTAATTTTTCAACAGTAGAAGAATATTGGTGGAATACTGTGAGTAGTGTGAATTCAGTAAGAAAACAAAGGGAATAAAACAGTCCAGAAGGACTAAACCACTCATTAAGGAAGGAATTCAATAAGAAAATTGCTAAATTCAGGGAATAAAATAGTTGGCCAATGGGGGCATTAGCCCAATAATATAACCTTCGGGGTTGTATTTAGGTTGTATCTCTTCAATTTATTAAATTGAAATATTAAAATTTAAAGATGAGGATGTTGTTCATTTCTTTCTGAGGTGGTTAAGAAAATTTTTCTTTTAGGTTTTTTATTTTATTTTTTTTAATGTTTTATGGTTCTGAAGGTGTCACATCAGTCTATTCACTTTTGTTTTCGTTTTGATAATTGCAAAATAATATCATGTTGCTTGATTAAAAATGAGTTGATATAACACAAGTTAAATTATGGGATCAAACATCAACACCTAAAATATAGCAGATGGGCTTCAAATGGGTTCTGCAATGGACGGTCATTTCGCCTGTCAAATTTTAACTTTGCCTATTTTAGTGCCAATTATAGCACCAGAAATGGCAATTGCTATTTGCGAACCCGCTCCTATTTCGCTCATATTCTAGGGCAACAGAGAGAGAGAGAGATGAGAAAGGCGGCAACAGACGGCGACTAGCGACAGAGAGAGAAGAGAACGGTTGCTATTTCTCGATCAAACCCCACCACCAGCAACCCGATCAGAGCTCGACCTCAGCCCTGCCCTCCTCTCTCCCTCTCTCTCTCTCCTACATCACGCACTCTCTCCTCAAACCATAGACAACTCGCCTACACCATAACCACTCCTCCGTCGCTTTGAAACTCTAGAAGGAAGCAACAGGTATGAAATCTATATATTTATATATTTGCATATATATGCTTTTTGATTTAAAAATTTTCAATTTCATTCTAAAATCCGGCATGGGCTTTGTATTTGGGATCCAGATTTCTCTCTCTGTGCATATGTTTTGTGTTGATTTGATTTCCATGTGTGTGTATATGTATTTTGCAGTCTTCAATTCAATTCAATCTCTGTTGATCTGCAAAAATTAGAGGGTTTTGACTCGAAATTTAAGTTGGGTTTTTTTTCAAACTTGTATGCTTTTTATATCTGATTGAACTCTGAAAATGGAGAGGGATTTCTTGTGTTTAAGCTTAAAAGAATCTAATTACGGTTATGATTTTTACATCTATGACTTGTATTTATGTGGGGCTACACAGTTTAGACACATTGACAGAAATTCTATGGTATCTGATATCATTCATAATGGTGCTTGGGCTGTCCAGATTGATTTACCTGATGAAGTTTGTTTTGGTGCTTTATTTGTTGTTACAATTTTGAAAATTTGGTAAAGTAGAAATTCAACATTACACAATAGCATAAAAGACTCTTATGAATATGCTATCAGGATTATAATTTGGGATATGCTAGCATATCTCAATATTAGATTGGAAGATTTGTTGACTATCTGCAATTGATGACAATTCAGATTGTATAGCTTTCTGCTGCACATTCAGATAATGTTTCTATATGAGTGGTTTTGATAGAAGGCTTGCTGAAGTAATATATTTTGAAGATCAAAGAGAAGCTGCCTGCTCATGTGTTGATTAGATTTGGCTTTTAGGCTAATAAGTTTCCTAATCTTTTAGTTTGTTTTGATGTCTTTTTGCTGGGAGTGAAATGTATCCATTCCTATTTATGTATTGGAGTTTATCTCCTTGTGTAATTGTATTATTTTGGTTATATTTATAAAAACACGCCATTCAGGGGGAAAAAAAAAAATCTGTGTGGATGGAATATTTATTCTGAAATTCGGTTATAATTCTCTTTCATGACTTTACAGTGAGTTATTGTGGACTTAATATATGAACTTTTTTTATTTTTTAGTTTTTGATGATGATTTTCTATCATGAGATACAATGGATTTTCTTGAATGCATGTAAATAAAAGTCTTCTTTCTTATAAATGAAAGCCTAGCAAAAGTATTCACTAGTTATACTTGTCTGAGACTTGTAGTTTTTTATTTTGTTTTTTTTTTTTCTTTTTCCTTTCTTTGTTAAACAAAAAGCAAAAATAAAGTTCTAATTTTGAAGTCTCTTTATGAAAATTGGTGATTAATTTGAGGATTATGGTAGATGGGTTCCTTTTACATTTTTCCATATTCTATCCAAATATGGTAGTTGGGAATGGTAGTTGAAAAAAGAAAATAGTGGTTGCGTTAAAAAATAATATTTTGGATAAAATGCACCATTGGAGCAGAATTGCTAAAATGTAGCATTTTGACACTGTAACACCTGTGAAAATATAAATTTGGCATGCGAAAATAGCTTTTAGCATTATAGATGCTACGAAGGGGTTAGATGTGTGTGTGTGTGTGTTTTTTTTTTATAATAAAATATGAATTTTAGTTGGGCTTTGCTCTGGGTGGAAATTTTCATCTTGGACTTCTGTAAAGGGCTGGAGTGGGCCTTGTCCAAAGTCACATATAAATGAACACATTGTCTCACAACAGACTACCAAAATTTTTAATAGCTACTTAATATCATCTCATTAATTAAATCAGATGAAGAACTCTTAATTGAGAGGAATGACATAGTGTCTATATGCGCAATAATGTCATGGTAACCTCAATCTTTACTCATATAAAATAATCGAATATATTCAATTATCCAACATTATATCACGACTCTATATATATATATTGACTCGTGACCTTTGAACATTATATATATGCTTACTTTGAATTTACATATTAAATCATTGATAGTTTAAAACATATTAGAATACTTAACTCATAGAAATCATACAGAAGTTAATTATAACGTTGGCAGTGCCACAATGGGTAATCAAGTCGTCATTCGAGAAAAAAAATTAAATCTCACTCCAAGCCAAGAGCCCATTACTCGGGCCAGGCTTTGGTTTTTTAAAATGCCTTCAGGCCCCGCCTAGCCCATCAACAGTCAAAGCCCAACGATCTCTGGTCTAGCAACAGGTCCGTCTAGCTTGGTCTGCCCGTTCTGCACCGTCGTCTTTGCACATGTTTGAAACTATCTAAATTTATTTTCTCTTATTTTATCTTTAATTTGTACCATTATAACATTTTTTTTTTGGATATGATCATTTTTAATCTTATCACACATTCATCTCAAAGACTCAAAGTTGGTATAGCCGGCCCTTAGTAAGCGACCACAAGACAGGAGCAGAAGCAAGGCGAAAAGTCTCCATTCATTTCATTAGACCGGCAAAAGGGTCCCCTATGCCTGCGTGATCAAACTGACTTTTGTCTGTTGCGTGAGGCTCATCAATACGACTCATATAGGAAAATTGTGCAACTAAGCTTGAGGCAACTTCTCAATCAAGGTTAGATATTACGAGGAACACCGTCATGTCAAGTCAAACAAATGTCAAATATGCCCATTTATGTCATGTCAAAAACGAATGCAATGACCATCAGATTTAGCGCGAAATTGCTTTATCCGCCCTTGTTGATGGATTGACTCTTTCTTCGTCCCTTTTAGGCTTTGCAGTCTTTTATGAGAGCATCTAATCACAATGATGCTGGTACGAGGGATGTTACACGAACGAAGGGGTCTTTTCGGCACTCTGAATCTGCCCTCACTCTTTGCACAAGCAATTTCCTAACCGTCCAACATTTTGTGCCTTAAAATATAATTAGTCTAATATCTTTTTTGATATAATTTTTAATTTTTCTTTTAATAGTAACATGTACTGAACCTGTAGGTGGTCTTGGGTCACTCATTCAAATTTGAGACTTATTTGATCGTTAACTTTAGGGTCTTGTGAGATTAGTCAAGGTGAGTGAAAACTGGCCCGAACACCCACGATTACCAAAAAAAAAAAAAAAAAAATGTACTCCTCTATTTAACTTGTGATTTTCTGTTAAAGGAAATGACAGATTATCAAAAATTTTAATAGCTACCTAATATCATCTCATTAATTAAATCATGTGAAGAATTCTTAATTAAAAAAAATGATATAGAGTCCACTTGTGTAATAATGTCGTGATAATCTTAACCTTTACTTATTGAATATATTCAATTATTTAGCGTTATATCACAACTCAATTTATATATATATATGTCATGACATGACTGATAATCTTTGAACTTTATATATATGTTTACTTTGAATATATATATAAAACCATTGATAGTTTAAACATATCTGAATACTCAACTCATGGAAATTATACAAAAGTAATGTATAACGTTGACAATGCCACAATGGGGAATCAAGTCGTCCTTCAAGAAAAAAATTAAATTTCGTTCCAAGCCAACAGCCCGTTACTCCGATTTTTCTGTTTAACATTCTTTGCCATAAAATATAATTAGTTTAATATATTTTTTGATATAATTTTTAATTTTTCTTTCAATAGTAACATGTGCTCAGTGCTCCTCTATTTAACTTATATTGTCTTAATTTTATTATAAACGTAATTTCCAATTTATCCTTAAATAAAAAAAATTAAATAAACATAACTTTACTAGAAGATACAGTATTATTTTGCAGGTTAATTATTTCTCTCAATTATTGTTTTAGCCCAAATATTTTCTTTATTAAAAAAAAAAAAAAAGCAGAGTGGATTGTTACTTGCCTCTAGCTGCATTACATATATGCTACGTGCAATTTGGAAAGAGTTACTAGAATTGACCTACCCAATCAGTAAATAACACTACTCAACACTTTGTTTCATGGTGTTCCATGGACCACCGCCAATCTGTTCTCTGCCGCTCTCATTTCGCCAGAATCTGACATCAAGTCCGTTAATTTCGCCGGAATTTGAGTCCCAGTTTACTTTATTAATTTGCTTTCAGGTCCAATTGCTTCACACCTGTGTTTTTCTGCTTTCCATTTTATTGTATTTTCCTGGAAATATTTTTTTTATCACTGCACTAGTTTATTCGTTTTCATCACTTTTTCATTTTTTGAAAAAAAAAACTCAGCTTTAAGGCTCCGTTTGTTTAGATATAAAATATTTTTCAAAAAATATTTTTTATTTTCTAGTATTGGGTTGTCGTAAAATATTTACGAAGAGAAAAATATATTAAAATTTAACAAAAATAACTTATCCATCAATTTTCGACAAGTTATTTTACATCCCTTACATCCCTCACCCGATGGACTCGGCCTCAACCTCGACGTAGACATTTGCCAAATACTGACAAAGTAAGAATAAAAAAATATTTTACTTGAAAAAAAAATTACAAAAAAAATATTTTACGTCCAAACAAACTGAACCTAACTTTATTGCAATTTAGTAAATTTTTGCTTTTGCTTTTTACGAAGTATTTTTTATTTTTCGTCTTCTTTAGCCTCTTTGGGGATTTTTGATCAACGTGCATAATTTGGGGCTCAAATACGTCTTTAAATATCTGATTTATCTTTCTTAAATTACGATATTTCATCATCTCAATATTTAATGTTAACTTGTGTTATATATGGCTAAGTCTATATATATATGTATATGTATATCTATATTATTATTAAATGTACAAAGTGTTTCAGTATTTCAGTATTTATTTATTAATATAAAAAATATTTATTAATTGATATAAAACTCTAAAAATTACTTAATAAAATTCAAATTACAAATTACCTAATAAATCAAAAAATATTTATTAATTAATATAAAACTCTAAAAATTACTTAATAAAATTCAAATTACCTAATAAATCAAAAAATATTTATTAATTGCTATAAAACTCAAAAAATTACTTAACCTACTAAATTTATACTATTATTAAAAGAGTTTCTATAAATTCAAATTACAAATTACCTAATAAATCTATACTATTATTAAAAGAGTTTTAGTATTTTAATATTTATCTATTATTTAATTAGTCCATATGGTCAAATAAAAGATAATGACATTCATTCGGCCCGGCCAGCTATGATTTTGTCCTTATCAGTAGAGGACACATGTCATCATTCTATTAATCCAAGAAGACTATAAATAGAGGCATGGAAGAAGGAGGAAGGGTACAAAAATTGAGCCTTGAAGAAGAACAACAAGAAGCACCCAAAGTCATGTAGTTCTTCCACAAATTGTGGAACAACAAGCACATCTAAAATTTTACCCTTTTTTAAAGGGCTAGCAATGGTTTTTAAAGGGCTAGCAATTTGTGAATGGTGGTATCAATTGTGGAACAACAAGCACATCTAAAATTTTATCCCTTTTTTAAAGGGCTAGCAATCTGTGAATGGTGGTATCAATGCGAGTTCTTTCAGGACCAACTAAATTGACTATGAATTAAGCAAACTGAGACATTTTTTAGCGGATTTAAACAAACTGGACTTGCTTGATACAGGTAGGCTTAACTTTCCAATGTTGAAACACATCAAAATATGGGATATCCAAAAGAAAAGTCCACTATTTATGAAATTGTTGTAGGCTTAACTTTCCAATGTTGAAACACATCAAAATGTGGGATATCCAAAAGAAAAGTCCACTATTTATGAAATTGTTGTCACATTTTGGGCCGTCTAAATTTCAAGTTTAGAATTTAGTAACTTCCAAATAGGTAATTGTTTAAACTCTTTATTGATAGTGGGATATAATAATTAATGAGAGTAGAATAAGTTGTTGATAATTCAATTTAACTCTTATTTCTGAGTAAATTAAATGTAAGTGTGTTGATAACAAAATTTAGATATACATTCCAACAAAAAATAAAAATAAAAAAATTAGATAGCATTTAAAAGAAGTTGTTGCACTTTAAATTTTAACAAGATGGGCTTACTTTTCACAGACGCTAAACACTTAAAATTCAAATAAGTATAAAAAAATTCT